CGCTGCTCTTCACCCTGCACCTGCCCTGAGCACCCCGGCTCCCCGAGTCCACCCCGGTCCCCAGCCTGCCCTTGGCACCCCCTGCTCCTCGAGCTCCAGCCCCTGCGCCATCACCCCCTCCCCTCGCTCCATCATCCCCTCCCTCAGACCATCACCCCCTGCCCTCACACCATCACCCCCTCCCCTCGCTCCATCACCCCCTGCCCTGTGCCATCACCCCCTCCCCTCGCTCCATCACCCCCACCCCTCGCTCCATCACCCTTCCCCTCCCAGCCTGGCCCATTCAGGAGAGCTGCCCAGCCCAGTCCTGCTCTCAGTTCTCCAGGTGCAGGCAGACCACGCTGGGACCTCAGGGTGCTAGAAAAGCAGGATCCTTGGGGCACAGCGCTCCGCTAGGGGTTGGGGCTGCCTGAGAGCCAGCCCCTAGGTTAGAGAAGTGTCCGTACCTCACCTGCTGCTTTGCCTTTGAGTTGGGCAGAGCACAGCCCCTAGCCCTGTCCCGCTGCCTGAGCAGACCAGAGCTAAGAGGCTGGATGCAGCGTGAACCCAAACTTACAGAGGGAGCTGCCAGCGCAGGGCCCTCCCAGGCTAGAGGGAGGCTTAGTGACAGGGTGTTCTCATTAAATTCAACCCTGCCCTCCCTCAATCTTCAATTTGTTGAATAGAAACAAAACATAAAAATATGAGATGAATAATCCCCAGCTGCTGAGAGCAGAGCTCAGCAAACTCCCCTGGAGGCAGACCTGGCTCAGCCTGCTGCCCTCCCGGAGGGACCTGGATGCCTGTTAGAGCACGTCCTCACCCAGAGCACCGAGGGGGCAGCAGGAGAGCTGGAGGGGAGCAGAAAGGGTGAAGATGCTGAAAAGCCGTGGGCAAGGGGCAGAGGCTACAGCAGAGGAGGACAGTGCCTACAGTGTGGGGTTTCTTGGGTACGTGGGTGGAACCCACAAATCCAGCGCTGCCTTCTTGCTCCCCACTGGGGAGTAGGTGGCTGCAGGAGGAGACCACACTGGTGGTTGTAGGATCTGCTAGGGGATGAAAATAAGAGCAGAAAGTCAGGGCAGAAACAGACCTGCCAGAGGCTTTAAGTATTTTACCATGAGTACAGCAAGGGAAAGTGATTTTTCAGACTAGGTAAACACCTTACCGTTCCCTGTACTAAAAATCCTTCATCAGGCAGTGACTGATGATTGCTGATTGGGTTTGAGCTGCATTAGACATCCTCAATGCTTGTTTGAAATTAATGGGAGTTGTACAGAACGAGCAAAATAAAGAGGTAATCTAGGCTTTGCAAGAAGTGGTTCTTGAAAGCAGTCCTTTTATTTGAGTTTTGTTTAGCCCCCTGAATAACTGCCCACATTATTTCCATTGTTTTATTCCTGGTCTTCACCTGCCAGATGAAGTGCTTCCCGCGTTTATTTTCAGGTTCTAAGAGTGGAGAATGTGATGGGAATTTCAATAAATTCAACAGCAGCACCAGATGGAGCTTGGCATTAGGACACCTGGAGGGTGGGGGGAAGAAGGAGATAGAAAAGGATAAAACATGGATGACTCCTAAATATAATCAACACCATCTTTTTCATAAATGTCTGCTTGTCACAAGCTTGAATACTAGGTGCTAAAGGGGGCTATAAACTGTGATTACAAGTGACTTAACGGTGACCAGTTCATCATGTTAACTCTAAATGGACTCCATCTAGAACATGCTTGAAAACATGCTGGATTTCCTGTATGCTCTGAAAGTCTTCCGTCTTGTGTGTTTTTCCACATTTTTTTTTTTTTTTTCAGGAAAGCCCAAGGTCTATCAAGGTGTTAGAGTAAAGATTACAGTGAAGGAGTTACTGCAGCAGAGAAGAGCACGACAAGCAGCAACCGGTGCAGCAGTAAGTAAAAATCCTTTGGTATCTTCTTTGTCTCTTGTCTCCCAACTTTTTTTTTTTTTTTCTTTTTCCCCAAGACTGTAATCTCTGCATCAAGACGACTGCCAAAGTCTGAGTCAGGATGGGGGGAGGAGGACATTCACCCAGGGTAACTGCAACCCTGATCTGAACAGGTGATGGCCTGAGCCGTTAGTGCAGGGAGAAAGCAGAGCTGGTGCTCCAGAAACGTGACTCACACAGGGATGGAAGGCCAACATGGACAAATTTCAGTCCAACTTAATTATCATTATGCTGGATGATCAAAGTAGCCCACAGTCACAGCCCCCCCCCGATTAAAACGTGGTCTGGCTGGGCCGAAGCACGCACCAAACTGCTTTGCAGCATCGGGTGAAGCGTGTGCCCATGGCACGGCATTGACCTGACCTGCACAGCTCTGAGGAGCAACCAGAGCTCCGTCATGCTAAGATTCCCCTAACCTCCCCCTTTTCCGCAGGTCTCAGCCCCCCCAGAAAGCCGCTTTCAACCACCCCCTTACCCCTGGAGCCTTGTGCAGTTAGACCAGGCAGGAAATGAAGGGACCGGAGGTGTGATGCTTCCAGCAGCTCCCAGCCCCTTCTAAAGGAGGGGATGGAGATCTCTGTGCATTCACACACACACACAAATACTCTCTCTCACTCTCTCTTCCAGTCTTTGTAGGACTCCTCTAGCTCCAGCCACTCTAGAGATTTGCATAAAGAGGCTGGTAAATCATTATTTCTTCCTGGTTCATGACATTAGAGCTTTGGATGGTTTTCAGATTTCATCTCCCACCTCCTGTACCTCGTTGCAGCTGATTGCACAAAAAGCTGATCAGGCACAGGCAGAGAGGCCGAGTGAACAGTGCACAAAGCTGCTGGGCTCTGGAAATGCTGGGTCACTCCTCCCCTCCAGCCCTGGCAGCAGCAGCCTCTCCACGGCAGCCAGACATCCCAGGGCTGCGGGGAATTTGTTTTCCCTTCCCACAGTGAGTTCACACGGCGCTTCTTGTGCCCACACAGGGAAAAGTGAAAAGTGGCAGCGTGCAGGAGGTTACCTGTGGGATCTGCACAAGGTACACCTTGTCCTGGAGAGGCCAGAGGTTGAGGGCTGGCAGGATGAGCCGCTTCTGGGCACTGAAAAAAGTTGAACCTGTAACCTTCTGATGCCCGCGGTATGGCTCTGCCTTGTTGCCCGTCTGCAGCCAAAGAGAAGAGAGGTCCTGCAGGCACTTGCAGCCCGGAATAGCCACTATTTAATAAATTAAATGCACAGGGATGTGCTAGGAAGTTGTTGCTAGGGAAATGAGCCACTAACTCAAGAGCATTTTAAATACAGGAAGTGAAGTGGAAGTCTGTGAATTAAAACTGAGGGGGAAAAAAAAAAAAAACAACCCAACCCAGTATTTGTATTTGCAGAGTAAAATCCTGGTCCCAAACAGCAAGCATCAAAACTCCTTTTGGGTGGATTTCTCCCCTCTGGCAGGTCAGGTTCCTAAACCAGATTGATCCGTCCACTTCAGCTTGCAGCATCCCTTAGAAAATGAGGCTGTTGGTTTTCACAGAGGCATGCAGCTGCGTTCCAGTGTCAGAGCTGGTTCTCAAACGACTTCAACACCAAGCACGACGACCCAGCCGTGGGGATACCTGCAACTGTCTTTAGCCACGTTTCAAGAGTTAGCGCTACAGTCTGTTAACTACACATTCTCAACCATATTCATTGCTACAAATTCTTTGGGATCCCTCCACTGTGGAATTCATGGTCCTAGAAATTAAAATGTGTTTGCCTCAGAGGCGGCGACATCCCTGCTGGATTAGCAGCAGCAATGCAGTGGGAAGAGCACGCTAGCAAGGTGCTGTACCAAGGGCTTTACACCGGGTTGGTGTTGTGCTCCTCCAGCGCCGTTATAAGCTCGGGGAAAAAATCACGTTACGCGTGTTAGTCTTGTTCTGTCAATGCTAGGGAAGCTTTCCGTGTCACAGCCATGAGGTAAATAAGCTTTACATAAATAGGTTGAAGCGAAATCCTGACTTACCTCAGCATGCAGGAAAAAAAAAAAGCTCCCCTGTGTTACAGTGCCTACAATTCCTCCCCTTCTGTTTGGTCAGGTTTCTTGGGGCGGCGGCAGCATCCAGTTTTCAGAGTCTGCGTCTCCTCCTCACCCAGGTTGGTACAAAACCCATCCAACATGTCCCTTCCCACCCCCTTCCCAATTTTTCCTCACAGCCCAGAGTCTTTCCAGCCTGGGCTGAGGCAGGCACTACCAGATAACCGGCCATGCAGCCAATCAGCACCTGAAAGGAGTCCGTGAAATGCAGATGAGCACGCCGTGAGGCCAGCAGGGTACAGGCTACCCCAGCCAGGAGCACGCTCTCATGCTCTCAGTTGTGCATTTTTTTTTTTTTTTTTTTTTTTATTCCGCAGCAAGGAGCGGGATCCCCTTCAGGAAGGAATGTTCATCCCCTAGGGAACCCCACCGCTGGCATCACCTCTCCCCCGGGCTGTGCGTCCGACTGGAGTTAGAGGGTCGGAGCGCTCTGGAGCACTTTGCTGAGCTCCAGCAGATTTGGCTCCTCTCACTCTCCCCGCAACAGCCGTAGGAGGGAGAGGAGTGTCAGGTTTTCAGCAGCACAAAGAGTTTTTTCCTCCTGTACGTGAATATCCAAGGAAAGGGGAGAGGGGTGGGGGGAACAGCACTCTGGGCTCCCACATCCTTCAATTATTCTTCAGCCAAAAGCAGAGAGACCTAAAAGGTTGGACAGGTGTGAATATATACTTTGTATGGACAAGGAAATTATGAAATCATCAGTATTTAGGAATCAGTTCGCTTATGTTAATCCAGAAACATGAGACATACCGAAGCTGTTTCAGGCTGGAAAGTCTCCATCTGTTTACGTATTTTGGGTGCTTCTCCCTTCCTCCCCACATCTAGCCGAACGCTGCCATCCTGAACATGCAAAGAATTACACCGGAGCGACTCTACCCAGTGCAGTTCCCCTGCCGCCAGAGCCGTGCCCCTCCATGTGGACAGGGCTTTGCTTTCAACCATATTCGAACACAGAATGAGAAGATAATTATTCTGTAAAGTCGTGCCGTGAGCTTCCATACCCCCAACATGCATGTTGGGGTACAGCGAGCCCGACCCTACAGCTTTCTAGAAAACGACACTTTTACCAGCAACACTACGGGGGGGGGGACGGGGACGGACACACAGTGCCACGTTATCACTGACTTGCTTCATTTTGTCCGCTCCGAAGTTTGGCTCCTGTCTGACTGTTTGGAGGATAAACCAGCAAATTATTCTTCGGTTATCCCCTTCTTCCCACAGAGGTAGCTGCCTTGCATCTGGAGACTTGGGTGAGGCAAAGGCACAAGCCAGCTGCCGAGCTGTGAGGCATAAATCACTGCACAGCAGGCTTCGAGGGCTGCAAACAGCTGCCACGTGAAGGAAGGCCAGAGGGTCAAGAGTCTGAGGGAGCTGCCAGCTGGATCTCTGTCCAAAACGGCTGGAGCCACAAGAGTTTCCAGAAGTATTTAAAGAGCTTTGGAGCTTTCCAAGGGGACTAAAATTCCCCAAGTTATTTGCATGGTTTTGAGCATCTTCTTCCTGGTGTCTGGTTCCCTAGAAAATTCACCCTGAGCTTGAAGGACCTTTTTCCGTGTCTAAATCCACTGAACACATAAAAATACTGAAACCTGACCTGGGGCAACACCTGCCCTTTGTGAAGGCAGATTTTGAATAACCTGCTGCTGTCTGGTTTGCTTTCTCTCCTAGCACCTTTGGATGCAGAAACCGCCTCTTCTGTTCCCAACTATTGCCCATCGTGGCAGTTTTCGAATTGTCTCTCCTGTGAAGAAAGCCCGAGCTATTTGGAGCAGCTGGTAGATTCCTGCCTCCAGACAGACGCGCCCTTAGAGCCAGCCTTCAGTGCTCTCCAGGCACCCTCACATTACACCTCAGACGCCCTCCAGCCAGTCCCGCTCTGCTTCAACCAGGGCTTGGTAAGCTTTGTGTCCGAAGGGAGCCGCGGGTGCAGCCCGAGGGGAGATAGGGAAGGATTTGCCCCCTGGGGCAGGACAGCAGCAAGCTGGTTTGGCAGTGTGCTGCTTTTAGGGGCGTGGGGTGCAGCCACAGCAATGCAGGCTGCTGCTGTGGGCTTCTACACGGTTTCCCATGGGGAGCAGAGGGCAGGAGGGCTCAAGCCAAACCTAGAGAGAGGCTGCGGAACAGGGAACATCCCTTCGACAGAGCGTGTGGATTGTCTGCAGAGAATAGCGCAGTTCCTCCGAGCCCTTGTCTCACTCAGAGAGAAGCTCCCTGTGAACACTAACGGCACAGCAACTGCCTCTTGGGTTCGGGGCTGCAAGAGCCAAACCATCTCCCTGGGTAGCCAGACCCTCCTGGGAAAGGTCACAGCGTGGGTGTTCTGGCTGCTGTCCACATTTTCCCAAATGACACCCTGAAACATCCTGGTTTGGTTTTTTTTGTTTTGTTTTTTTTTTCTTCTCTCTCCAACTCTAGGCTGCTGGATCCCCCAGTCCAGCCGATCTGCCCAGCCCATTAAACTATAGCTGCTCTCCTCCTCAGCTATCTCCTTTCACCCCACTGACCCCCAGCCCACCCTCTGATCTGGAGACCAAGACCTATGGCTGCCCTGCGGAGGAGTGGTCCTGCCATGCCCCCTGCCCGTACCCCACCTCTGCCTGCTGCTGCGCGGCCTGTGGCTCCCAGCACGGGGACAACAGGGTCCCGCAGTACTTCCCCTGCCCCAGCACAGACTGCCTGGACTACCTCCCGCCCGTGGCCATGGCCGACGACTTCTTCAGACGGGATAGGAGCTGCGACATCTGCTACAGCTAATGGCGACTGTGGTTTTACACATCCACTGTATCCAAATCAGATTAATTGCCCATGAACTATGCAAAGTTGCACTGCCTAACAGTCCAGTTTATTCTTCACTACTCACACATTTTCTACATGATACTGTCACTACATTAGTCCTCCTGTCTTGCATGGTCAGGGGTGTTTTGTTGGCTGTCGTCGTGGTTTCTTTTGGGTTTTGGTTTTGGTTTTTTTTTTCCTCCTGGTTTTGTTGTTGTTTTTTAAAGAAATCTTAAACTGCCTTATCAAACACATGTCATTAAGCCAGCTCTTTTTGATACAAATAAATAATTTGGAACACACGCTGAAGCCTGTTCATTCCTCGTGTGCTCTTCTCCTCTGCCAATGACCCAGGACCCCGGCCCTGTTCCTACAAAGGTGAGGGAGAGAGGCTCTCAGCAGCGTGAAAGGTCACACTTACCCCTTCCAGCACAGAAAAAGTCTGTGTGTCTCTCAGCACACTAGCCCCAGAGAAAGCCACACAGCCCCCCGCTCCGAGACAGACCTCCTTAGCCACTGCTGCTGCTCGGGCTGCCCGGAGGATATTCTCTAGCCACTGGTGCAGAAAAGGGAAAGTGCTGGTTTTCCACGCAAGCTCTGCGTTTAGCCCATGGGTCACACGCCAGAAAGGCCCCTCAGGCCTGCACAGGGGCTGAATCTGGTGCCGAATTTCTTTGGCTGCTGTGGAGGCAGAGTTTCAGTGAGAGGCTGACGCAGTTCGTCAGCCCTTTGTATAATTGGGTCTGTTGAGATCAGGTTTTCTGCACCTTTCAGCAGAACCAACTGAACGGGAGCTAAATTTTTTTTTTTAAAAGTAGATAATAGGAAACTTAGCATACGTGAGGATTCCCTGTTTCTTGCCTAAACCCAGGCTTTGCTAAGACTGTGTCTCACCTCCATTTAATAGCACTTGGGGCAGACTGCCAAGCCACCAGTTTCTCAGCTGATCACCCAGACTGGAAAGAAAGCAGCAAGTCTCCGTACTGAATCCAGCACAAATGAAAAAAATAACTACACCTGTGAAGATAAATACGTAATTTAGGCTAGCTGTATGCTCACCTTCTCCTCCAGACACTTCTACAGTTCACTGAAAAGCTTTCCTCTTCCTGGAGTTGAAATTACTCATATGGCAGAGGATGTGACAGAGACACATCTCTGGCAAAAAGGAGGTTTCCTTCCAAAAAACCCAATATTTCCTCACCCTGTGAAATCTATGAAGAACTAAGTGTATTAAAAAAAAAAAAAAAGAAGACTTAAAAATATTTATAAATGCCAATTATTTCAACCTTCTATCCCTGCCTCCAGCAGAAAACAGAGCTGTTACCTCCCATGCAGGCTCGAGGGTTCTCTTCACTTTTAAGTTCTACATGAGCTAAAAATGGCATTTTTTCCACGTCCAATCCAAGTCCCTGGACAGGATGTTTTATTTTTGCCATGCTAGACAAGGAGACTACACAGAGTACCTTTCCAACATTCAGCTCCTTTACCCTATGTAAGGTAGCAGCTTTTTTTTTTCCCCAAACTTGTTGTAAAATACTTTGATGACTTTAAATAATCTTCTTCCCCTCTCCCCTGTTGTTACGTGATTAATCTCAGAGCTGGTCCAAGTGATAAACTCCAGAAAGTTTATAAGTAGGAGTTAAGGGTTGGAGCTCTGTTGCAGTTAGAAGTGTGATTACCCCTGTGCAGAGACACTCTGTTCGGTGTCACTGTAGCAGTGCTGGCAGGTGCTTCAGCCCCGAGCGTTATCTCAGAGCACCAGAGGTTTATGCTTCTCCTGCGCCAGCCTGATTCACAGCTTGCTCAGTGCTGGCTACTCCTGCTCGCTGCTCGAGGAGTGAGCACACCTTTAATGTCCAAGCCGCTTATCACCAACATGAGAGAGCCACAGGAAGATAAGGTTGAGGCAAGATATTTGAGGCTTCCAGTGGAAACGGGGTCACCACATCCTCCCCATCGGTTGGCAAAGCTGGCCTGGGCTTAACAGAGCCAACACGAGGTGTTCTCATAGAGTAAAGAGTATGTCAAAACGGTTAAGTAAGTCTTCAACAAGGAGAGAACTCCTACTAGCACATCCTCCAGGAAGGTTAATAGAATCTCGGTCTACACAACAGTGCCAGCAAGGAGGTGTTACGGTCTCATACCGCATCTCCCACCTCCACGTCAGGCGGCTGTCTGACCTAATAGCTCATCGGCAGGTTGCACATTTACCGGTACGTTGTGGCACGGATCTGTACAGCTGCCAGCGGTCACACTGCAGCTCCGAGGAGGACTGCTCTGTGCAGAGACACTGGAGAGGTGGTGCCTGTCCCTGAACCTATGGCTGCTGCTTGGGCGTGAGCGCTTCGGGACGGCGGCGTGACCACGAGCGCTACAACACATACACACACACCCCCCCGTTGTTACTCCTGCTCCTTGCACGGTGCCTGACCCAGGCTACAAACCTCCCCGCGGTGCGGGAAGGTGTCTCCTGAAGGGCTGGGCTGCTCTCACCACTCAACTCCCACACTTCCAGGGCTTGCAGGTGGCCACGGCCCCGAGATGGGAGCACGCGGTGTCTTCTTAACAACAGCAGATATTTGAATTAACAGCTACCGGCCTCATGCTGCATGGGAGCAGCTGCTCTGGAGTTACCAGCTGCTCTGCGGGGACAAAGATCCTTCCAGCAAAATCTTTCTGTGCTCCGGGCCATTTACTTAACGGCTCTGTCCGTCCCTTGCAGCCTCTTCCTATTTCTCTGCTGCTCTTGCTCCAGTTGTTTCGTGATTCCCTATGCCAGGGACTAGAAATCTGGTTTAGACACCGTTCCCCAACGTCCTTCGAATAGCTCCCGGTGACATATACAATGCAAGTAAAAGCTTGCTGACTGTTGACACAATGATGTCTTGTTGACACAAGGGAAAAAAAAAAAACAAACCAAACACACAACAGAGGATGACTATTCAAAGGTTGATTGTGCATTTTCTGGCTATGAGGAACATATTTTTCCCCCCCTCAAAAAAAAAAAAAAAAAAAAAAAAAAAAAAAAAAAAAAAA